AGGCAATCCTCCTGCCTCAGCCTTCTGAGGTATTACAGCTGTGCCCATTCCATGCCTGGCTAATGGCCATGTTCTTGATTCCGCCTTCCTCAAAACAGGAAGAGATCTTGGGGCAGGGGTGGGGGTGACTTAGAAGTTGATAAGGAGCATGGGAAGGGAACAGCAGATAGGCATGGTGGCATGTGCCTGTTATCCCAGCACTCAGAAGGCAGAGGCAGAAGAAGTGTTTTGAATTTGAGACCAGGAAGGACCACATGGTGAGCTGGCCAGCCTGAGCTACATAGGGAGGTCCTGTCTCCATATTCCGTCTCCTCAAAAGGAGGGACAGTAGCATTTGAGCAGCTGCCTCAGGGACATCAGGCTCTGGATAGGTTGGGCAGGAAGAGCCTGTGCAAAGGCCCTGAGGCAAGGCTGCACCTGGCAGATTAATCAGACTGCACTAAGGCCAGGATATCAGAAGCAAAAGGAAAGAGGAGTGGAAGAGACACCGGCCATGCTGGGCACTGGGGGAGGCCCTGAAGCCATAGACATGGCTTTAAGTATGGAAGACATGGGAGAAACCTGGGCAGAAGAGAAACTGGTTTTTCATTTTGCCCGTCAGTTTTTTGTTTTGTTTCGTTTCATGGGAGGAGTTAAAAGCCTCATTGAAATGTAATCTGTACACCCTAAAATCCACCCATGGGAAGTATACAGTTCAGGCCAAGTGTGAGGGCGCCCGTTCCAGTGCATGGAAGGCAGAGACAGGGGAATCTCTGAGTTTATGGCCAGCCTGGTCTACATAGTGAGTTCCAGGCTAGCCCCCTCACCAGCCTCCTGACATCTCTTCTTGTTCTGGTCCTCTTAAGCTTGCTAGGGGAGCTGGAGAGATGGCTCAGTGGTTAAGAGCACTTGTTCTTGCAGATGACCCAGGTTCGATTCCCAGCACCCACATGGTGACTCACAACTGTCTACAATTCCAGTTCCAGGGGATCTAACACCATCTTCTGACCTCCACGGACACCAGACATGCATGTGCACAGATATACATTCAAACAAAACACTCATACTCAAAAATAAAACCAAAAAAAATTTTTAATTAACAAAAATTGATTTTGGGGGACAGGAGAAATGGCTCAGCGGTGAAGAGCACTTTCTGTTCTTGCAGAAGACCAGGGTTCAGTTCCCAGCACCCACATGATAGCTCACAACTATTCATGGGTACCTGCATGGTGCACATACACACATTCAAGCAAAACACTCACTCACATAAAATAAATCTTTGAGAAAAATTTTAAGAAATTGCTGTGTAGCTAAAGGCTGGCCCCATGCTGAATGCTGAAATTACAGGTATGGGGGCCCCATGGTTTCCTGCATGCTAGGAAGCAACTCTACCAACTGAGACACCACCACCCCCAGTCCCCTCTCCCACTGCCCTTTTTAGCCAGAGTCTCACTCTCTAGCACCAGCTAAGATGGAACTCACTGTGTAGTCCAGGCTATCCTGGAATTTCCAGTCTTTCGGGCTCATCCTCCTCAGTGCTGGGATTATGGGTACCCTGAGACAAAGACCTTGTGACTTCTCTTCAAGGAACAGGCTGATGGGGTCAGAGGCAAAGGGCCAGATGTGGAAGCCAAGAAAACAGTGAAGCCGGAGGGAGTTTGTGGGAAGAAACTGGATTCTGGACGTGTTTAAGATACTTAAATACTTCAGGACTTTGAGATGGCTCAGCCGGTTAAAGGCCTTTGTCACCAGCCCGAGGACCTGAGTTCCACCCTGGGATCCACATGATGGGAAGAGAGAACCCAGGCTTACAAGGTGTCCTCTGGCTTCCACACCAAGGCTGTGGCACAGGCACACACCTCCCCATACACACAATAAATAAGTAAAGTGTAAATATATATATATTTAAATAATGGAGCGGCTACTGAGGTCTGTAGATCAGGAGGGAGCTGGAGGTTATCCATTCCGTGTCCATCTGTCCTCCCTCTTCCTTCCTCTAGCCTTTGGTCGGGAGACGGGGTCGTCACCCTGTCTTTCCAGCCTTAAGTAAGCTGGGCTTCCTCCTCAGGGGCACCCTAGGCCAGATCTGGAGATGAAAAACAGCTGCTGGAGGCGCCAGGCTCGGCGCAAGCCCAGGCCCCTCCTAGGCGCCGGCAGACACCGCTCGGCTGGTGTGGGGGGGGGGGCAGTGGGGGGGCTCCTTGGCTCCCCTCCCCCTCCCGCAGCCCCGGCCCGGGGCCCTGGCACGTCCGGTGCGCCTGATGCTTTCCAGATGTGAGCCGTGTTCTCCTTCCAACCTGGCCCTGTGCGCCCACGAGGGAGGGAGGCAGGGAGCCAGGGTTCTATACTCCCAGCTCCAAAAAGCTATCAGCGTGGCTCAGGCCTGTCACCCCAGCTCCCTAGGGATGGCCGAAGCAGGAGGGTCGCCAAGTTCAAAGCCTGGGCCACAAAAGTGAGTTCAAGGCCAGTCTAGCTCAACTAAAGGAGACTGTCTCAAAATGAGAAAGTAAAGAGGGCGGTGCATGAAGCTCAGCGGTAGAGCTCTGGCATAGCACGTGTGAGACTTTGGATTCAATCCCCAGTCCTGGGGCGCGGGAGCTATCAGAGGCTCATATCTTTCCCGGACCAGTCTGGCTTCCCGGTGCAGGCGGTGAAAAACGACCTGGGGTAGAGCTGTCTGCAACAGCGACGCCTCTCCCGACTCCACCTCTTCCCAGGGTTCCAGTATCCCCGCGCGCCAGAATGGAAAGGAGCGTCAAACCCCGCCCTCACTCCCCTACCGGTCACACCCCTGCAAAACCCCGCCCTTGACCACACCCACACCACGGCCCCTCGACAGCCCCGCCCCGCCGTGTGGTCCGGTGGGGAAGGTGCCCGCAGCTTCTCTTGTCTCCTGGCTTGGTCTCTGAGTGTCTGTCTCCAAGTCTGCCTCCTGTGACCTCCCCCTGTACCTCCCGTCTGTCCGGCTTCTGTCTCTCTCCGTACTTAGTTCCCTGCCTCTCTCTGCCCCTCTCACCTCTCTCTGAAGTTCTCTGTCCTCTCCCTCTGGTCCTTCACTTCTCTTCCACCCTCGTAGGAACCCATCTCCCCTCTCATCCTTCTCGGGTCCCCCAGATCTCCGGTTTCTATCCTCTGCAAGGCCGGCGGGGATGCCTGTCTTCGGGTGCTTCTTGCACGCGCGCCTCCAGCGACCTTGGCTCGAGGGCGCCCCCGTGTGGCCAGCCGTGGGGCCTTGAGGGTGGCGAGGGTGGACGACCAAGCAAGTGATGCTGTGGTGTCCCACGCGACATCCAGAGGTGGTGCGACCCACGCCAGTGCGAGGGCCCGCCTCAGAGGTGGCGTGGGACGCCAGGAGATGACGTGTGACTGTGTGACACAGTGAGATTAGGAATGACAAGGAGCGATTGAGCGGGACTGTCCGAGTAAGGTGCTACGTGTGGCTGACCATGGGACTCTGAGGTTATCAGAGAGACTGTGAGGCACTGTGTGCGGCATGGGGTCTGAGAGAGAAACTTCCTGGAGACTGTCCGTGATGTCAGCTATATGTGAGGGAGTCCGCATGTGTTACAGGAGCGGAGTGAGTCAGGGGGACCCTGGACTATCCAAGTGATGGTATGAGCCAGTGATACAAAAGGGGGAGGCACAGAGGGGGACCTGGTGTGGCCAACTGTGTGAATGTGAAACGCGTGTCCGCCACCCTGGTGGGTCGTGAGAAACTGGGTCATCACACGTGACACTGAGAGGTTGGCCTGTGTTTGTGATTGCCTGTGCAAATGTGTGAATGCCCAGGGAAAACTGGGCGAATGCTGAGTGAGGAAGAGGGAGACAGTGTATGAGCATGACAAGCATTTGTGATGCAGACTGCGAGGCCCAGCAAAGACTATGTACACGATAGTGTGTGTGTGTGTGTGTGTGTGTGTGTGTGTGTGTGTGTGTGTGTGTGTGAATAGCACACCATTGCATTCAACAATGTATAATATCAAAAGAGTGTGTGGGTGTGACAGGGATTACATATGGCTTCTGTGTGTGTATGAGAGAGAGAACTCTATGCCATGTGTGTCAAGAAATTGACCAAGAAGGGCTGGAGAGATGGCTCAGTGGTTAAGAGCACTGGCTGCTCTTCCAGAGGTCCTGAGTTCAATTCCTCACGCCCACATTGCGGCTCACAACTGTCCATGGAATCTTATGTGCAGGTGTACACACAGACAAGTATACATAAATAAATAAATCTTTAAAAAAAGAAGAAATTGACCAAGAGAAAACGTGGCCACACACTTTCCACCCCTGGGAAGAAAACCATGTAATCCTGTATGACACCAAGCAACGGAGCGCTTGGCAGAGAGGCTGAGCGAGTTATTGTATGAGATGCCGAGAAAGCGTGGATGAGAACTTCAAGAGAAGCTGAAACTGCACTTGTGGGTGACAACGTATACTTTCGACACTCTGAGATAGGGTACCTGCCTGTGCGGCGGTGCAAGCTGCCGCTAGCGGTGGCGTGCTCTGCTATACGAAGTCATGAGTGACAGCGGTGGACTGGGTATGTCGAGACCTTTGGTGGTGTGCGTTGTGTTGAGCACTATAGCACTACTCAGTGACCTGGGAAGGTAGTGAGCATCTCTGTGTGAGTGACTTGAGTCTGTGTACCGCTGAGAGGGTCACAGTGACGGGGTGATGCTGAGGCGACTCGTTTGCGTGTGAAGGAGGGAGAGGCTGCGTGGGACCACCAGGAGAGGCTTATGTGCATAAATATACACACCTAGAGAATCCGTCTCTTCCTGCCAGCGTGAAAGAGAAAGACACGCTGGAAACAAGAGTGACTGAAAAACGGGGGGCGGGGGGGGGGGGAGAGAAAAGAAGATACATAGCCGGAGAGACAGACCTAGGGCGTGGAGACAGGTGGTGACTAGGAGGAGGAGGAGGAGGCGCTCCTGAGGGGCTGCACCCCAGGGGAGGGGGCGGGGCTGGGAAGGGGACCAGCCGCTGCCTCTCTCAGCCTCTGTCACCCGCCAGTCATCCCAGCCCTGAGCTGCAACAGGTAGGAGGCTCCTGTCCGGGTCCCAGTAGTTGGTTGGTGGCTACCATCTGTCCGTCCTGGGATTGAATGAGTGAATGGGTGAGTGAAGAAATAAATGACTTTATACTTCTGTGTGTCACCATCGTCCTCCCTGCCCATCTGTCCTTCTTATCCCTCGCCGTCTCTCTCCTCTTTCCTTGATCCATGTCCCTTCTAACCCTGCATGTCCCCCTCTGTCCGGGTCCCTCCTCTCCTGTGTCCCTGTCTCCTCCGTTCACATCTTCTCTGTCCCTGTTTTCTCCCGTCTCCCCTCCCTTTCCCCACTCTCCCTATCATCTTTCTTCATCATCTCTTCCCCAATATCTCTATCCCCATCCTCAGTCTATTTTCCTTCTCCATGCCCGTCTCTCTTTCCGTCACTCTCCCGCGCCCCGCCCCGGCTTTTCCTCTTGTCCCCTTCTCTATCCTCCATGCCCCTCTGCAGAGCTGGCTGGGTTAGCTTGCCCCAACCCTCTCCCCTGCCTGCTAATGAGCAAAGGAGCCTTTGAGGTAGCCAAGGCTGGGGCGGGGATGGATGGGTCCCTGAGGGTGGCAGAGGGGGCAGCTGCTGCTGAGGCCCTAATGAGGCCCCCTCTGCGCCCCTCCCGCCGAGATCTTAATTCTCAGTTCTCCCTGGAGTCGCTGCTAATTGGCCTGGGGAGGGGCCCCCCTTCCTGGCTCAAGCTCTATCCCCAGGGGGTGAGGGCACCTGGATCACTAGATTCTGATCAAGCACCTGTGGCCCTGTCCTGGCCCTGCCTCCTCCACCTGCCTCAGCCTCCCATCTGTGTCTCCCTCCTTCCTTCCCCGGCCCCTCTGCTCTTCCTCCAGCGGCCTCCTGGTACCCCCATCCGGGCACCTCTCCATCCTCTTGTCCTCTTCTGTCTCTGGGACCCCATTCGTTCATAGTCCCAACCTCTTCCCCTGTTTCCGGGTCGCACCACTGCTTCTCACTACTCCTCGGCGGGGGGGGATCCCAGACGTGTTCCAGCCCCCAGTCCCTACTCCTGCGAGGTATTTAACCCCTTTCCTGCTGCAGCCATGTCCAACAACATGGCCAAGATCGCTGAGGCCCGCAAGACGGTGGAGCAGCTGAAGCTGGAAGTGAACATCGATCGCATGAAGGTGAGCGGAGCCGTGGGGGAAATTTTTTCTTGGGGGATGGTGGGGGGAGGTGGCGGTCTGCGCCAGGCTGTGTTGAGGGCGGAGCCTGGAGCAGAGGCGAGTGGGAGGGTGGGCCTCGACCGGGGGCGTGGCCAATCAAGGCGTGGTCAGGACAAGGGGCCGGGATTTGGGCGCTTGCCTAGGGAGAGACCAAAGCCACCAGGGCGGGTCAACTGCATCTCTGCACCTCGCCTGCAGGTGTCGCAGGCGGCCGCTGAGCTCCTGGCTTTCTGTGAGACGCACGCTAAGGATGACCCACTGGTGACTCCTGTCCCCGCCGCCGAGAACCCCTTCCGCGACAAGCGACTCTTTTGCACCCTGCTCTGAGCCCTCAAGACTCGAAGTATGAATCCAATAAACTTGGTGACTTGGTGGTGGCTGCACTTTAGGGGGTAACCGAGGCACGGGTGGAGCCTGGGGGCCCCCTTCGGTGGAGCCTGCGTCCGTCCCGTCTCTTCTTCTCTGAGCGTGTGTGGAGTGTGAGCTGTGTGGATGGAGAAGCGCCGCAGCCCCACAAGAAATGAGTACTCAGCCCCTTTTTCATTTCCCCCCATCAGTTTGAGAACAGCTGGCTATCTGCAAGATAAACCATTTCACAGCTGAAGGAACTGAGTCAAGGGAGGTTCCCTTCTCAGTCACACAGCTGAGAGGTCAAGACTGAGGCTCGAACTTCAAGTTCTCCATAGCTTCTCTGCCTCATCTCCTGCACTCCCTCCTGGCGGAACTTAGGGGCAATCCGCCCAGGTTTCACATCTTGTTGTGCCTACCGCTGGCTTACTTGGGGGAAAAAAAAAAAAGATTTATTTCATTTTAATTCTGTTTATGTGTATGTCTGTGTGTGGGTATGTGCGCATGAGTGCGGGTGTCCAGGGAGGCCAGAGGAGAGGGTGTCAGGTGCCCTGCGGCTGTATTTAGAGGGATTGTGAGCTGTTCTATGTGGGTGCTGAGAATTGAACTCTGATCCTCTGGAAGAGCAGTACTTGCTCTTAAGCACTGAGCAAACACACCAGAAACATTCCCGCCCCCCCCCCCTTTTTTTTTTACAGGATCTCATTTCATAGCCCCGGCTGGCCCAGAACTTGCTTTGTCATCCAGGCAGACCTCGAATTTACAGAGATCCGCCTGCCCCTGCCTCCTGAGGGCTGGGATTACAGGCTAGCGCCAGCACATCTGACTCCCCTCTTATTGAGCCGGGGTTTCACTGAGTAGCTGGGATTGCAGGGCCCCTTTTCCTCTAATTTACTCCTGTCTTCAAGCACCGACCTTGTTCTTAATCCATCCACTCACCATCCATCCATCCATGCTTCCAAATTGTCCCTGGGTGCCTGCTCTGTGACCAGTCCTGTCTTGGGCGATGCTGGGGGAATGTGACGGTGGTAGAGAGAGCCCTGGTTCTGGGGACTCTAGATGCGGGCTTCCATTGGCTGCGGTGAGGTGAGAGAGTTCCTGGCTCAGCTTGCGGGGGAGGGGTTCACAGAGGGGCTCCTTGTGGAAGGGAACATCTGGGCTGGGGGGCAGGGTTGATAGAATTTGGGGACCTGGATAAGAAAATCATGGGATTAGGACAGAAGGAACAAATGAAGATAATCATTGACCAGCCCCCCAACCCCCCGACATACACATCCCTCCTGCTGTTATCTTAATTTGGGGTTCTGTGGGCCCCAACTCAGCCATGTTCTTCTTAACTGTGAGGACAGAGGACCCCTGCTCTGCTTCCCGACGCACCCTCTGGAGCAGTGCGTATGTGGCCTGCACTTGTGGTTTGGAGGCTATTTTTGGCCTGGATGATGTTTAAATATGTTCTTGATTTGGTTGTGACACAGAAATGATTCCTCATCAAAGTCCTTATTTCCGGCTTCTCTGAGGGTAATTTTGTTGTTTCGTTTTGTTGTCAAGACAGGGTTTCTCTGTGTAGCCCTGGCTGTCCTGGAACTCCCACTGCAGACCAGGCTGGCCTCGAACTCAGAGATTCATTGGCTTCTCTCTGCCTCCCAAGTGCTGGGATTATAGGCGTGCGCCACCACTGCCAGGGTTCTTTTTTTTTAGCATGGGGTTTTGCTGTGCAGCCCAGACTGGCTTCAGACTCACTATCCTCTTGCCTTGGCCCTCCGAACGTTAGGATTACCGGTGTGTGTCAGCATGCCTAGCCTTCCCTGGGATCTTATGAGGCTTATCTGGGCTTTCAAGCTGGACAAAGTCCCCACCATGCCCCAATGTGTCCCTGACGCGTAACTCTTCCTTGGGAAGCACACATGAACAAGCATGTTTGATCAATGACAGACAGAAGAAATGATGGCACGTGAATCCAGCCTGGGGAACCAATTAGTTTATCGAGGTCACTTACAGGAACATTAGTGTGACTCAAAGGCGACCACGTCACTAATAAACCCACCGTGGCTGGTGACTCAGGGAAGCTATGTCCCTGTCGATCCCATCCCAATGTGAAGGCAGCTTCACTGAAGGGTCTTCCTCCCCTAGCAGCTGTTTCCAGCTTGTATAACGACCCGTAGAGGGGCCTTGTGGGTTTAGTGACTTTCCCAGCTTCCTGCGCCTCCAAGTTTCCTGTGTCTTAGAGGTCTCTCCGGAGGAGAACGGCTTTGGCGAGAGGAGTAGCTATAGAACTGTCGGCTAAGGAGTCTGAGTTGCCATCCCCCCTGGGGCTGCTTAAGGACTGATAGTGGAATAAAGAAGGAAATGTTTCCACTGAAACTATATCGAGGGGGCTGGGGTGATGGCTCAGGTAGTGAGGTGTTTGTCACATGAATGTAAGGGCCTGAATTCAGTCTCTAGCACTCATGTAAAAAGGGGCTGGGCCGGGGGAGGCTGGAGAGATGGCTCAGTGGTTAGGAGCACTGGCTGTTCTTCCAGAGGTCCTGAGTTCAATTCCCAGCAACCACATGGTAGCTCACAACCATCTGTAATGAGATCTGGCGCCCTCTTCTGGCCTGCAGGCAGACATGCAGACAGAACACTGTATACATAATAAATAAATAAAATCTTAAAGAAAAAAAATGGGGGGGGGGGGGCTGGGAATGGTAGAACACGGTTGTAGTCCCAGGCAGGCACGGACATGTTGCCAAGACTCACTGGCCAGGCAGTCTAGCTAAACTGGCAAGCCCTAGGTCTCAGGGAGAAACCCTGTTTCAAAGAAAATTGGAGAGTGGGCAGTGGTGGCGCACGCCTTTAATCCCAGCACTTGGGAGGCAGAGCCAGGCAGATCTCTGTGAGTTCGAGGCCAGCCTGGTCTACAGAGGGAGTTCCAGGACAGCCAGGACCCTGTCTCAAAACAAACAAACAGAAAAAAAGAAATGGTTCTTGAAGAACAATATCTGAGGTTGTCCTCCGGCTTCCGTATGCACACGTACATGTGTATATGTGCACCTGCACTCGAACATTCGCTGTGCACACAAGGACATGCTTGCACACCTTTGCATGCTTGTATACATACCTGCACACACATGAGCAAACACGCACCCATGCACACATGAACATACCCAACCTTCCGTGCATGTGTGTAGGAGTGTGCGTGTGCACGCGCACACACACACACACACACACACACACACACACACACACACACACAACCAGGGAAAAGACAGACTTTACTTATTTAGTTCAAAACCACCCATTCCCTCCTCAGACTCCCCTAGACCCCATCGCTTTTCAGAGTCTGTCCTTTTTGCTGATGGAGACTGGACTCTCAGTCTCCTGAAGTGGCTCACTGGCTCTCCTCCCCAGGAGGTCTTGTGTGAGCCTGGCAAGTGCTCTACATTTGCATCGGATGAGGGTCCCCTGGGCCCCAAGTCTGAGCTTCCTGTAGAGTGGAGGCTGAGGCAGCTGTAATTACATCTCGCTCCTGTTCCCACCCCTCAGCCCGCTCCAGCCTGCTTGCATCATGTCTGTGGGAGCCGCAAGGGAGAAGGGGGACAGAGAGAGAGAGAGCCAAGGATGAGCTGGGGGTGGGGAAGGATACCTGGCGGAGACCAGAGTGCAAGGCTTCCAGAGTGCGTAAACCCGGCCCTTCCTTCACAGCTTAGAACCTGAAGGGATCTGGGCTCCCGCGATCACTGAGCCCCAAAGTTATTTCAGTTTCTTTTTTTTTACTTAATTAGGCTTGGTGGCAGGCGCCTTTCCCTGCAGAACCATCTCTCAAGTCCTCTTCCCTCCCTCCTTCCCTCCCTCCCTCCCTCCCTCCCTTCTTCCCTTCCCCAGGTCTTCTTTCGACAAGGTCTTACTTTACAATGTAGCCCTGGCTGGTCTGGAGCTCGCTCTATAGTCCAAGCTGACAGAGAACTACTTTTGCTTCTGGCCCTCGAATGCTGGGATTACAGATGGGGGCAAGGTTTTTTTTTTTTTTTTTTTTTTTTGGTTTTTCGAGACAGGGTTTCTCTGTGTAGCTTTGCGCCTTTCCTGGAACTCACTTGGTAGCCCAGGCTGGCCTCGAACTCACAGAGATCCGCCTGGCTCTGCCTCCCGAGTGCTGGGATTAAAGGCGTGCGCCACCACCGCCCGGCGGGGCAAGGTTTTTATTACCCTAAGGTAGGATCTAGCTTGGCAGTCTTGGCTTGCCTCAAAGCCCCCAGCAATCCTCTTGCCTCCTCAGCTTCTCTGATGCTGTGATTACAGATAAACACCATTATCCCTCGCCTTTTCCTTTTTCCTTTTTCTTTTGGTTTTCCAAGACAGGGTTTCTCTATGTAGCCCTGGCTGTCCTGGAACTCACTCTGTAGACCAGGCTGGCCTCGAACTCACAGAGCTCTGCCTGCCTCTGCCTTCCAAGTGTTGAGATTAAAGGTGTGTGCCATCACTGCTCAGCATTTTTTTTTTTTTTAGCAGTTTCTCACTCTGTAGCCCAAGTTGGCCTTGAAATCAAGAGCAATCCTTCTGCCCCTTCAGCCTCACAAATGCTGAGATTAGAGTTGTAGACTCCACCAGGCTCTTGCATTCCAGAATCTTCTAGCCCCGAGAGGAAGGAAGCCTAGACCAGTGGTTCTTAACCTGTGGGTCTTCCATCGGAAAACACAGATATTTACATTGTGATTCATAACAGTAGCAAACTTACAGTTGTGAAGTAGAAACAGAAAATAATTTTATGGCTGGGGGTCACCACATCGTGCGGAGCTGTATTGAAGGGTCGCAGCATTAGCAAGGTTGAGAGCCACTGGGGTAGACGATTGGGATATTGGGCCCTTCCACACTGAAGTCTGCGTGGTCTGAACCGAATGTAAATGGTGCAGGTCTTGGGGAGGCTGTTGAGAAAGCTCTGGGGGCTGGTGGGCTGGAGGGAAGCCAGGAGACTGGGGTGGGGGAGGGGCGACAGACCCTGGGAGGAGGCAGAAGCCTGAAGTGGGGGCAAGGAGGCGAGGCTGGTC